AACGTCCAGTCTTGCTGCCACCGGGTTAATTTGATGCTCACACGTTGTTTTTCCAGCTGGAAAATGCAGTGAAAATCACTATTTGTGTGCTTTTGTCATGATTTTGGTGCAGTTTCCAAGATCTATCACACCCACCTCCTCCATAGCATCTCTGCTGACTCAGGGCCTCTGCAGAAGATACTCAGTGCCTCGGATCATCCCTCTTGGTTTCCTCTCAGCATTTGATAGTTTGTGGTCCATTTTCCTTTTGCACCCCATAAATGCAGTTCTTGAATATTAAAGGCAAATAATGCCCCTGGCCACCAGAATGCATCAGCTTATGGGGCTGTTTCCAGGCAGCCTGAGCCTGGGCGGGTGATGAAGATGGGCTGAGAGATGACAGAACATAGGTTCCAAAGAATTTTCATCCATGTGTTAGCTGCTTATCCCACTGACCAGCACAGCTTTATCTTTTCCATTGCCTTATGTTTTATTTCTTCTATTTTAAATATAATGTTCACAGGACTCAGGGGCCATCTTTCCCTCCTGTGTTTGCACAGTGGCAGAATTGAGAGACCGTGGAGCTATAATCCTACTGCTCGTATAAATATTAGTACCCACTTTTCTTCCCCAAAAGAGGTTGGCAGTAGGTGGCTCAAGGTTTTGTACTCTGTTTTGGGTTATTTAACATATTTATTAACCTGCGTATGGAGCGAGTCCCTATTTGCAGACGGCATGTTATTTATTTAAATGATTAATTATTTACATGTTATTTAGGTTGACTCTGCTCCAAAGAGGACTTTGAAGAGCTTCAGAGAAACCAGAGCCAAACTGATGAAAGTGGTGGTGAGGATTGAATTTGGTGTTTTGCTGTAAAACACAGGCAATGATATCACTCACAGCCAGTACAAAGTGACACAGCCTATGCTGGTGGGTCAGAAAGACATCAGCACATAATCACAGCTCTCTCCATGTGTGTTTCTACTCCCTCCTCCTCTGTGTTCAGGAAATAATAATTAAAAAAAAAGCAAATTGCAAATGTAAGTGCGATGGGAAGGCAGTAAGAGAACGGGGTGATGAGAAAGGGGGACTGCCTTGGGCCCCACCTTAGCGGAGGTGGCAGGAGCTGTGGTGTGACACACATGGGACAGAGCAAGAGGCTGCACAAGCCCCTCATGGCTGCTCTTGGCTTGTGCTGCCCTGGGGTGTGTAAAGAGGTGGGCAGAAAAAGACTCTTGAACCATAAGAAAAGCAGCTTTTCAGTGTGATTTGAAAGCCATGACTCTGTTGGTTTGTGGAGGCCGTTTATTTAGCTTCCTATAAAACAGGAAAACCTACAAAGCAGCTGTAATGTGGGGGTCCCTCCACCTTCTGTGCCACAGAGGTTTTTTTCCCTTGGATTGCTACAGACCCCTGAGGCAAGGGAGAGGGGAAACGGGGATTTTTTAGACACGTTCTGAAAGACATATTTTGAAAGCTCTGCTTTTATTCTGTAGTGGTTAGAAAATCCCCAGACAGACCCAGGAGGAAAGGCTGATCCTCCACTTGGAAACTAGGATTGTGTGAGTTGGGTTTGTCCTGTTTGCTTACACAGAGGAGGGATGCCTCAGGAAAACCTTCAGGGTCACTGAAGCAGGGATGGATGGATTTTAACATTGTGGCGTTTTATTTTGTTGCCTTTTTTGTTACTTCTTGATTTTCAAATTTGTAATAAAATCTCTTAGTTTTGCTGTGATTGAGTTTGCCCCTTTGGCTTGTCAGATACTTAGAGGGATCTCAGTTGCACCAACATAAAAACAATGGTATCTCCAGAAAGTGAATGATGGAGCTGTGCGGATTAAGCACTTACAATGCTTTGTGCTGAAGGACAAATGTCACTTTGGGGGTGGAAAAGTCAAGTGGTAAGACCTGGAGGAAAGCCTGACCTGGCTTATGTTTTCTCTCAGATCTGCGGCAGATGGCAGGGGGGCCGGAAATCCCACTTACTCACATGGGATAGTTCCGGAGAAGCTGGATGTTGTCACACAGGAGAGGTCCAGACACTGGTGGGAAGAGGGCCTGGAACAGCTCCTGGAAGGATGAGAAAAAGCGCTGTTCTCGGGATCTGTGACAGAGCGCGGCGGTGGCTGCCAGCCCTGAGCTCCTGCATCGCCGTGAAGCTCCAGGAGGGAGGGCGGAGGTATTAACGTGTGAAATTGCTGCGAGAAGGAAATACTAGCTCACGCAGCTCGCAGTGGTTTTCTCGCAGTTGAACTGTCCCACGCGGGGGCCGTGGGGCTGCGGTACAACGCTCCATCGCCGG